AAAAACTTCCTTGAGTGGTACACGTTGCCGTTTTTATTAATATATCCAACAAATCAAACATTCAGAAATTACACGCATGTGTATATGTGCGTTTAAGCGAATATATATCTGTTCGTACATTTTGTGAGCTCTTCATAAAAAGGGGCGTGAGGCAAAGTTCAAGCAGGCTTTAACTTGCACTTAATCCCTCAGGCCATTTTCCCCCCAAGAAAAAATTGCGCTCTTAATCCCAGTTCATTTTAATAAGATACAAAAAGTTGCAAAAAGGAAAAAAGGATTGAAAAAATTGCAAATGTATTTCTTTTTTTCTTCTTTTTTTTTGCGTACAAACTGTTAATTGTTAACCTCAAAATTAATCGATTTTTTTTTTGTCCAATTAATGGTGTTCATGTTATGTTTTATTTTTAAAATTACGCAAGTGGGGGAGGAAGAAAAAATATAGCAGAATAACATAAAACTGTTACAGAAAAGGACCAAACGGAAAACTCATCACCCTCATCGGAGTAAAAGGCGGAATTCTCATTTTGTTAAGAGAGAAAAACAAAAAAGAAAAAAAAAAGACATGCCGTCACGTCAGTAAAGTGTTACAAAATTTCTTAAATTTGATTGTAAATATTGTGAATGCTGCTTGAACGACATCGCTTATGAGCCCAGCATGAATGACGCCCATTATAATCGCAGCATGAACGCATGTTAGTTTTATGCGCTCGTTTATTCCACTTCTTTTGTGGCGTTTTTTGTCCGACGCTTGGCTTAAATTCCACTTGAAACAACTCGCGGGAAACAAAAAATGCTGGACTCGGATACCGAACTACCGCAAGAAATTCTGGTGGAATACGAAAAATTGTTGAAAAAGTCATACACGGAAAATTTTGACGAGTAAGTATGTGCAATGGAAGCATGTCGCTATAAATTAGCGCTCTGTTGTTTTTTTTTTTTACGAAGCTGAGTTAGACAATGTGCAAAAGAATTGACTATTATGCATGAGCACGTAACGAAAGTGTTCACATCCATGTGTGCGCTTTTGCTCTGTCGCATGTTCACACAAACGACTCTTCTTTTGAGCAGATTGTATAAGACCGACTTGCTAAAGGTAATTGGGAAGGATGGATACGGTTCACACATCGTTTTGTTGATTCCGTGTTTTATCGTTTCGTCCGGTTCAGACCCTGAGAAGACACTGTAAGTGGACCTTTTATTGGCTGTGTTTATTCGCGTGAAGCGCGTGCATGGTAGCAGTGGGAAAGTTAAGAGTGCCCATGCTGGTGGCGATGATATAATTTTATTTATTTTCATTTTATTTATTTTCATTTTATTTATTCTTCATTTTATTTATATTTTTTTCTCCCTTTTCGCACTGCTGCCACTTCGCCACATGCAGGAGATACGCCATCTTGACGTTGGACCCAATCGTGAAGGAGAACTACGTGCTGGTTCTGTGCGAAACGCATACAAGTTGGCTGACTGACGCGGTTTACGCGTACGCAAAGCAGTGTAAGGAGGGCAAGAAAAATGAGGAAAAAAAAAAAAAAAAAAGTGACCAATTGTGATGGCGCGAAAAGTGCAGACATTCCTTTTTGGTCATTTTCCCACGAGTAAAAAAAGCCTCCTGGTAAAACCTCGCTTCATCGTTTTATTTCTTCCCCCTCGTGCAGGGTACGACACGCTTCCGAGGAAATACAAAAAGAACCTGAAAAAACTGTACTTGGTGCACAGCGGATTCATGTCCAAAACGTTGCTAACCATTGTAACTCCATTCGTATCAGCCAAATTCTGGAAGAAAGTAGAATACATAGAAAAGTTAGAGGATCTATTTTTAAAATTAAATATAGATCCAACATATTATTTGAGATGCTTTCCATACATAGTTCAGAGAAATGAAGAAGTGCTATTAGGAGGAAAAACAGTTTCCGTTTTTGGAGCAGACTTAGAAATTTTATGTCAACGATTTGGAAAAACCTACATGGAATATAAACACATCCCTTCCATCATTGTGGATTTCTTAACCCATTTACTGAAGCCTGAAATTGTTAATACGAAAGATCTGTTCTACTTACAGGCAGATGCAAATACATTGTATGGAATAATTGGAGACATAGAATATGGAGAACCGACAACAGATTTTAACAACATTCCTTCCCTAGTCTGTTCATTCAAGCTTTTTTTAGATACACAGAGACATGGGTTGCTGGGTAGAGATGCCTTCACGAAGTTGTACCATTTAAAAACCGTTTCAGCATCGGATAAGGCGATTAGAAGTGTTTTATTTAAACTGTATGATAAGCTTGAGCCGGGTGCTAAGGATTGTCTAATCTGTCTTTTGAAATTTTTTAAAACCGTCTCAAAGTATTCAAGTGAGAATAACATGACGGTGGAAACCCTGGCTAAGATTTTTGCTCCCACGTTTTTCAGACCCAGTGTTCCGAACGCCGTTTTTTCGCAGTGCATTCCTTTGGCGAATAGGTGCCTGCAGATGATAATTGAGGCCCCCGACATTTTGACGGTGAGTTAATACACATATGGGTAGAAGCATTAAGGGGAGGCGATGTGAGCGGTGTGGTTATTCCAACTGGCATCGCCTGGGTGCATATGTCACTTTGTCGCCATTTTGAGACATGTTTCCCCATTTTGAGACATCTTTCCCCATTTTGAAACGTTTTTCTCCATTTTGTCTCCATCTTGAGACATGTTCCCCCATTTTGAAGCTTCCTTTCCCATTTTGAAAATTCTTCCCCCATTGCATAGAACCCGAATAAATACGACGCAGAAAGTGACAGCTCAGACGAGAGCGAGTCAGATGACAGCAAGGAGAAGGAGTCCAAATCGGAGAGCTCAAGTGAGGAGGCCAGCAGCGAGTCACAAGGAAGCAAAGGGAATAAGGGGCAGTCCAGCGATTCGGCGGAGCTTGCCCAGCATGGATCGAAGTCCTCGGAAAGGGGAGGCCCAAATAAGAAGGACACTCCACAAAAAGACGCCTTGAAAAGGGGTGAATCGAAGAAGAAATCGGACGAACAGACCGAGGAGGAATCGGAGTCTGAGGAAGAGTCTGAGGAGGAGTCCGAAGAGGAATCCGAGGAAGTGACAGAGGAAGCTACGGAGGAAGAATCAGGTTCAGTGGAAGACACCAGGAAGGTTAATTTTAAAAGGGAGGAAGGAAAGGCGGAGTAAGCACAGTGGTGAAGCGCTGGAGAAGCAGTGATGACAGACAATGAAGCATCTGAGGAAACAATTAGGAAAGCCGCGCTGATGGCAAGTGCCCATTTCTTATGCTTCCCGTTGAAGGATTCTCAACCCGGCGAGGTGGTAAGAATCCACTAGGCAACTTACCCCCCGAAGGCATGGATAATGGTAATATGCGTCAAGAGAGAAAAGACACAGGGAAAATGTCGTGGAGTTGGTAGAAGCAGGTTAGACGCCCAAACCGCTTTTGCGTAAGGACAGATGCACTTTTGAATGACAGCTTGATAAATAGAAACGGTAACTCTAGTGAGATAAATAAAAAAGGAAAGGTAAAAATATTAACCCAGTGAGGTAGAGATAAAAAAAAGGTTAGCCAAAGACCGTGGGTACGTTGTGGATCATATTGTATTGGCGCACTGGTGGGGAGGCAGCTGCTAATTGGTTTTCAGTCAAACGTTAAATAGTTTTTTTTTTTTTTTAGTGAAAAAAGATCACGAAAAGGAGAAGCCGAGCAGACTAGCTACAAAACCAAATAAGGCTTATAAATTTTCGGGGACCCACGCGCAAATGTGCCCGCACGTCCCCAACAGTCGCAGAAAGGTGTATGCTGGACGTTCACTTATTAGTAGCTAATATACTCCACATGTTTGTGATTATAAAACGAATTTTTATCGCAGCAGTTGTGTTTTCCACGAGGGAGAGCAGCACACGCCAGCCATATATATATATATATATGGGGGAGGGTCCTTTTTTGGGGTTCATTTATGGCCTCCTTTTTTTTTGTGCACATTTATGGCTTCCTTTTTTTGTGTGCACATTTATGTGTGCATTTTTGTGTACTGGTGTTTTTTCTTTTTTATTATCAAAAATTGTCTACTTCCGCTTGTTTTTTTTTTTTTTTTTTTTTGGGTTCGTCCCTTCACACCTTCCTCTGCAGCGTGGGGGGACATGCGCTATACCCCTCTGCATATACTTCTTCCCTTTTTTTGTCGAACGTGTGTACACATGTTACCTCTGCGGGGATGTGTATCTCTCCCTCTTTTGGTAAGCTCAGCTACACGTGTACGTATCTGTGCTTGCACACATGTGGTATTTTATCATCTTAATTTTTTTTTTTTTTTTCTTATTCTTTTGCTTCCTCTTCTTCCCCTTCTTCCTCTTTTTCTTCCATTTTTAGATAACTGCGGCTTTATGTTTCCCCTGGCAGTAGTATTTGTTGCACGTAATTTTTCTTTCTACAAGGTTATGTTCATAGGTGGACGCAAAGCTTGTGCGTTATATCTCCCTGCACACCCACGTACAAATAGTCTTTTGTAATCACGTGCATAGGCCCGTTGCGAAAATCTGCGTGGGGGTCAGTTTGTGTTCCTTGGCACCTTTTAAATTTGCGTTTGTGCTAACTCCAACCTGTGGATTATAATATGGATAGTTTCATACGGATAGTTTATATGATCCTTCTTGAATAACTTTAACAAGACAGAAAGAAAAAAAAAAAAAAAGAACCAGAGGAGGAGGAAAAAAAAATGGCTGGCTCAGCGAGCGAAATAAGTGAATCGCTAAATGCCTGGATGAATAGCAACTCGTCCATAGAGTCTTACGTTCTGATCAATTCTGACGGTAAGAAGAGAAGGTGCGCGAGGGGGGGCGTGGGTGAGGAGTTGAGCTTGCCATCATAGCAGTAGGCCCCAGGTTGCCTCCGGGCAGTGGTCTGCATATGATGGGGGGGCACATAAAATGTAGACCGCGTCGAACCGTACATGCAAGTAATATTCACCTTAGTGTAACATATGTTGGGAAAGAAGTAAAAAAAAAAGGAACACAGCATGACCAAGTGGCTAACTGTGGGGGGATGAAACTCCCACAGGTCTCTCGCAGTGAGCAAGGGGTGGGTAAAGTGCGAACAGAAGAAGTAGCATAGCACCACAGTAGGCACCCCCCCCTAGGTTGCATATTCGGAGTGCTACTCTTCTCCCACTCATCTCAAATGCAGTTTACCTGCGCAATAATGTGTAGCAAACCTTACAAAGAAACATTTGCTATTTTCCCCCATTCTTCCTTACCATTTGCTAAGGCATCCCGCTAAAATACAACGAAGACGTGAGCTACGAACATGCAGTTAAGCAGGCCTCCCTGTTCTCGTAACTCTTATATTATCTTATATTATATTATCTTTTTTTTGTTTTTTTTTTTACTGAAAAGATGCTAGGATAGTGTCGAAAGTGTGCCAAAGTGATCGTGTTACATATTCCTTTTCCTGTCTTTACATTTTTTTTTTTTTTTTTTCTTGTTTCTAATTACAGAGACTTATTGACAAAAACAAAAAGATGTGTTAAGGAATTGCTTCCTCAAGAGGTAAAAAAAAAATAAAATAAAAAAAGAGAAGAAGATGCAAAAAGGCAAAATATAGGAGGGTGAAAAAGAAGACCCCTAATGGAGGGTAACTTAACTTAATGAGCGTTATGAACAGATTATGTAATCCTCGTGCCGTGCACATAGGTACCCGGGGTGATGGTGATTCCTCTAGGCATCCTCAGTTGACTGTCCAGCTGCACGCCACCCATCTGAGATGCCGCCACTTTCCCTTCCCTATGCACCTCTCTCCCCAGAACGAATTCAACAGCAATTTACGAATTCGCACAAAAAAAGAAACTGAATACATCATATGCAACCATGGGGACTATTCGCTCATAACAAAACAAAATTGCAAGGACACGCAAACGAATAAAAATAAATGAAAGTATGGAAGACACTCCTAAGGAACTTCCCTGTGTTTACAGGGGGCGTCTCCCCAAGTTGGCGCAACGAACGGAGGATAAACACAGAGAAAATAAACACACAGAGGAATGTCTTAATATATGGATGAATACGACCCACCGCGCTCAGCTACCTGCGCGGAGAAACCATCAGCCTCTGAAAAAGCAGAAACGAATAGGAATAGGGGGGGAGGGCGCCCTGTTTTCCTTCTTGGCTGATTTTCCTACATAACCATTTCTGTTCACTTATTTGTAAAAAAATCCTTTTTTTTTTTTTTTATTTCTTCTGATCTTTATTCATTTCTCCATCCCCGTCATCATCGTTATCATCATTCTTTTCGTAGCTTCGTGTGTGCGAATCTTTATATGACTCTACATTAGCCTTCGATTTGGAGTTAAAAATGCATTTTGTGGCAAAGGACAGGACGAAAGTGCACAGTAGAAGGACGATGAGGTGAATTATAATCCCCTTATTGAATGATCCCTCCTGTATGAGTATGATTCTTTGGAAGGTGGGGGGTGGGGTTGAGGCACGTGTTTGTATATATGTACGTGCGTGTATACATGTAAGTGCGTATGCGTGCGTGTGCTTTTGCTTTTTCCTTTTTTTTTTCCGCTGGGGCTTACTTATTCACGAGGGGTAAAATGAAGGTAAAGTAAAGCAAAAGGAAATTCACCACGTTGATTTTTTTCCTTCCTTGAGTGTTCTTTAGCCACATGAAAAGGAGGCACGTTTTGGACAAGTTCGAAAACTGAAATGGGGTAAAAAAAGGAGACATTTGTTTGTGGCACTCCTACCGCGGGCTCGCGTACCAAATTCGATGGCACGCCCAATGCACACGTGAGCAACTAAATCGGCAGCGCAATTTAACCATGAAGGTGTTGGCCGATATGGAGCGATAGATATGCTTCAGCGAAAAGTCCATCGATCTTCCCCCTGCAAGGAGGAACAAAAAAAGATTATAACGAACTGGGGCTAGTTCTGATGACATAAAGGGAGGGTAGGCCTACAAATCCATTCGGCTCCCTAAATAGGGCAACTGGTATTACCGATGAGAAGGGGGAAAAAATTGGTAGCCACGGATTCGTAGAATCCCCAGCTGAGGCCTACGGATAGTATTCTCTCTTTCAGGTTAATCGTGTTGGTGTGCCTGCATGAGGGCAAATGGGAAAAGGCGCATGAAAAGAGGGGAGTGAAAGCAGAAGAGTGCATGGAATACCAAGGTAGCCCCTGTACAGACATAGCACACAAACACATATATATAGGCATGAAAATCTTTACGAACTCATTTTTATTCTCTGTATGCATACTTATGCGACAAGATGTAGTACAATCCACCCAGGTCTATGAAGTTGGCGCACTCTTGGAAGATGATCTGAAAAGGGTAAGGTAAAAAAAAAAAAGGAGTTCCCATAAGCATGTGTATATGTAGTTATGCATTTGTCTATTCATTCATGCATCTGTATGTATGTGCTTTTGCGTGTGCATCCATTTTGTGGGAGGCCTAGCCTGCCAAGCGTACGTTGAAAAGGTTCAGGTTTTGAAGGAGGCCTATCGAGAAAAACGCTAGGGTGAACAGCTGCATGAAAGGACGAATAGGGGGAAGCGTTAGAGATGATGGTTCTACGGAGGTAATTACATACGTTCAAGTGGGTGTAATAGAAAGCTTCTTTTGTTTTTTCACGGTTTTGGGGAGTCTTCCTCCTTCTCCCTTCTTCTCCTCTCATCCTCTGTAACCTTCAAAATTTGCGATACGATGTAGTAAAAACACACGAGGAAAAACAACTTTGTCGATCCAGCATTCTTTGACCTATTAAAAAGGGAAAGCAAGAAAAAAAAAAAAAAATACATGTGCTAATTGGAAGAGAGAAACGCGAAAAAAAAGAACTTTCGAATGATGTCCCATTTTGAGTCTACTTATAAGGTTGCTAATGAAGTGTGTTGCTGCACGTCATTCGTTAATCAGGGGGACTTTTTTGTTTTTTCTTCCAAAATCTTTCATGTCTATCTAGTGTCATTACAATTTAAATCCGTCATATATTATGTAGTATGGTGTAAAGGCCGTCAGGGAGCAGTTAACAAAATGGAAGAGCGCCATTTTGTGATAAGCTAAAATTTGTCGTATGTAATTGGGACACAGCTCTACATACTGGGCTGTGCTCCCCTTTCTGCAGCTTCTTGTGGAAGATTAAGTAACAGTTTTTAGTTAGTTTTAGCTTGCGTTCATCCCCAAAAATATTCACAGAATGACGCAAACTTGGTGGACTATTTGCATGAGTAGATATGCGCTGCCCTGTGTTTGCCAATGAGGGAGGCACATCTTTTGTTTGGTTGTCATTAAAAGGTTCTGAGGGGTTCCAATAAAACTGCGTAACGGGGGGTTATACTCTATTACGTATGCTTATACATGTAAGCATTTTGGGGGAGGCTGCTTTTTTGTTCGCCGCGCGGGATGTAAAAAAGAAGGGGAAAAATTGAAGATTACGTTTGGTGTTAAAAAAGGGAGAAAAAGTCCCCCTACGGGTGTATTGTTCTTTCCGCTTCTTTTTTATTTTGTCAATTTGCTTGATTGTATGTTTCTTTGCGATCGTACAATTTTAGGGTGTTTTTTTTTTCTGTTCCCTTTTCAGCTATGCGCGGGTGTTCAAAAGGGGGTAACATTCGAGCAACCGTTGAGCGCACTCCCGACTTGTCGTTCCGCTATTGTTGCCCCTACCTTTGTTGCCTCGATTTTTTCCCCCTTTTTCCGTCCCTGGCTTTTAGCCGGCAAACCAGGGCCAACTTCTCTCGCGTCACCTTTACTTTTCCATATTTGACAGTTTTAATATTATTTTTCCCTTTTAGTTTCCAATTATGGTAAAGGATGGGAGAGTTGGAGGGTAAACAAAAGGCAACCAAAAATGAACATTCTTCTTTTTTTTACTTATCGTAACAAGGAGGACGACATAAAAAAAAGTGGATGACTAAGAAGGGCTCAAATGTTGTTCCCATGGGGATACACCTCTGTCAAACTGTATAGCTGTATATACACGTGCAAGCATCCGCATATAATACGATATATATAGTGTATATAGTACATACATGCATATGTATATAGATGTGTATTTATACATAGGTGTATTTACACATATGTATATTTATACACATTCATGGGCAACACTTGGCGTTGGCCTGGGCGGAAAACAGGGAGCGGAAAAGAACAAAAGTCCACCCACGCACACACAACGTAACGCAACGCATGACAGACAAGATGGCAAAAATGGTCAGATTTAAAAAGGACAGACATATGATTTTTGCGTGAAATATTTTGCGCGCACTCGTCCATGTCTATGAATCGATAAATCAAAGGCTTAAAAAAGAAAAAACTATTAAAACAAATGAGACTGGGAAAAAAGACGCATAAGACAACAAATGGGAAAAGAGGCGGAGAAAGCGGCCAAAAAAAAAGGCAAAAAAATAACAAAAAAAAAGAAAAAAAAAAACGAGGAAAAAAAAAGAAGAAAAAAAAAAATGATAATACATTGTTTAGCATTTTCTTTTCCTTTTTTTTTCCTCGCTTCTTTTTTTTTCTTTTCCTTTCTTTTCCTTTTTTTCCCTTTTCCTTTTCCTTTTCCTTTTCCTTTTCCTTTTCCTTTTCCTTTTCCTTTTCCTTCTTTTTCCTTTCTAAGATTTATTAAAATTTAAACACTACGATTTTACAATCATTTTGCATCTGCGACAAGCGATTTAAAATGAGAAGAAGTGGGAGTGGTGGTCGCAGTGGGCGGGGGGTCATGATCTGTTTTTTTTTCTTTTGCAGCAGCAGGGGCTGGAGAACATCAGAAAAAATATATGGTTAAATTTAAAAAAAACACTTTAAATGCGTAAATGTTCTTTTACCCTTCGTAGCTGTCACCATTGTCGTTGTACTTTTTCTTTATGAAATTTATCACCGTTGGGATTCCAGCAGCTTTGTTTAATTCCTGTTATTTTTTTTTTTTTTTTTTGGGGGGGAAAAAAAGGGAAACGTGTGCAGAAATGGGCATACACATATAGGTATGATGTATGGTCGAGCTGTTCAATACTAATGTTGTGTGTATGTGCCAATCTGTAGAGGCATCCTCAGGGGGGAGGGGGGTGCTAAAAAATGTTCTTACCTTCAACTTTGACGCAGCGACATTTATGTTTGACTTTACCCATGTGACTTTTTTTTGTAAACTCATGACCCATTCAGGGATGCTGCCGACATCTGAAGGAGGGTACACATATATAGGGTTGGTGTGGAGGTAGGAAACACGTAGGATACATATATATAGGGTTGGTGGAGGGGTAGGAAATACGGAGGGTTCACACGTGTCTCATATGAGGTGGAGGAACAGACGTGACAACGCATGCGGGATGCACCTCAAGTACGCATAATCTGGCGCATCACTCCATCGGAGCTTCGCAGCGTTCTAACCCAACAAATTGCAGAAATAGTCGGCATAGTTCAGGCAATTCCTGTGAACAGGGTGTGATGCGAGTGTACAGATGCGTGAGCAAAGACACATGTGTGTGTGTGTACGCATAAGGGCATATCTATAAGGGTTCTCGGTGTGGAGTGCAATTTTCCTCCACTGAGATTTTGCCCCCTTCTCCTGCGACTGCCAATGCTCCTTCCAGTGGAAGTATTTTCCTGTCCTTTCCAGCTGCACTTTTTCTCTATGCCTGAAGGGCCATACCTTGACAATATGTCGTACGTATCTCCGATCCATTGCAGTTTCATCACCTCAACCAAGAGGTCTACTTCTTGCTTCGTTAGTGGAGTTTTACTAAAAGTAGGAGAGGGTAAAGAAAGAAAAAAAAAAAAAAGAAAGAAACGTGAGATCAGCCGAAGAGATACACACCAAAATAGAAGGTATGATAAAAAAAAGGAATAAATCCTGAGGAGACGCTTTAAAATGTCCTTCTCAAAGTGTGCTTTACCCCTACAAAGAAAAAAGAAACACATGCCCGAAATGGTGAAGATGTAAAAATAGCGGGGTCGTTTTTTCTATATGAACCATGTTTGACAATTGGGGGAAAACAAAATAGTAAGTTACCATAGGGATGCTTTCACGATACACGTGGTAGGGATGATAGCGGGCGCTCGTTTTGGTCACGCCCGTTTCGCCATCTATAGGGGGAAAAAAGGAGGAGGTAAAGAGTGGGGGGGCAGAAGATATGAGAATGTGAACGGGTGAAGAGAAGAATGCGAAGATGGGCACTTTGCAACGGCCCCATCGCTGCGCCCAAACGATTCAACACACATGCAATTTTGGAGATTGCCTCTGCTCTTACCCATTACGTAACCGAATGAGTACTCATACCCGTAGACTTCTACGCCTGCATGAAAGGCACCTGTTAGGGAGGAGGCATCACAGGCAGGGGGGTCGCACTGGTGGAACTATATACATATGCATATAAATATGCACATACATATATATACATATACACGTGAGAATATTCACACAGGAGACAGGGAGACCAACGGAATGCATAAGTGACGTACACAATTGAACACACTGCGCGCCAGCTTAAAATGCACACAGAAATTACCTGCTCCCATAGATCTGGCCACCGTATTGACAACCTTGGAAACAGCATCCAAGTCATATATATTTAAGTAGACCATACTGGAATTGAAGTCGGGCTGCGGGATTTCCTCAGAACCCCGCGTTTCGTAATGGCCAGACACGCCGTTTTTTTCATCTTTCTTTGTGCATTCTCTTCCCTTGGCGCGATTTTTCTTCTTCATTGATCTGGGGTGGGTGGGTTCCTACGTGTTGTGCGTTGTTAGCTGCCAGGTTTGCAACACTTGCGGCGGGTTGCCTTTTGGTAACGCGCGGAGGTGGCTGTGTGGGGAGATGCCCGATAGTGCTGTGATGTGCTCACGATGGGATGGCAGTATGCATAGCCAGAACCGATTCTTTTGAATTGACAATTGTGAGACGGAGATTAAAAGCGAGCGCGCCTTTGCGTGTAGTATGGGGAGATACGGTACGGTCAGGAAGGTGAAGGTGAGAGTGTTTAGCTGCGCCCCTACAGTTATTATATACACTTAAAAAAAATTAACGTAAAAAAAAAAAAAAAAGTTGTTTCCATCAGTGTCAAGCTGTTCTCATGTTACATTTTGCCATGATTTTCTTTTTATGTTTAAATAAAACAAAAAAACAATGTCTTCAAATGATTAGAAAATATGGAGGGAACTTGCGCAGAAGCATTTTCTGTTTTGTTTCATTCTGTGATTGCGTTCGGTCTGCTTCGATATATCGCTTTGCGCTATTTCGCTATTTTGCTGTTTCGCCGTTTCGTCGTCTCGCCCTTTCGCCTTTCGCCGTTTCGTTATGTTGCTGCTTTGCAATGTTGCCGCTTTGCCGATCGGGTACTTGGTCATATTATTCATTTTGTTTTTACTTGTTTTATTTTACGCTTCGCGAATCATCATTTTGCCATTTTGTTTTTTTCCTGTTGTGTATATTTTTTGTTCACCTTTTTGTTAATTTTTTTTTCGTTTTTTTCGGTTATCTTTCTTTCCCGCTTTTTTGTAATTTTCGCCATGGTGCACACGGGAATGGAGGCGCAAGGAAAACAGAAGCAAAAAGGGCACGGAAAAAAAGGAAAAAAAAACAAAAAAAAACGCAAGAAAAAAAACAAAAAAAAAACGGAAAAGAAAATACACAAAACAGGAGAAGTGGACCAATGCGCTGCATGGGACAAACGCGAAAAGTGAAAAAAATGAAAACGTCTAAGGATTTCAAGTATCCGACGTGCCGATAAAAACCCACCTTCTCATTCCTAGGGAGGCCAAATAAAGCGGCAAGCGGAAAATTATGCAGACTTCTTACGCATGTACGAATTTTCCTTTTTCTTAGCAGCACGACCGTCAGTGAGCTCACCCCTTGTCAATGAAAAATGTTTAAGGGAGTACTCTGCACATGTGCTAGTTCATGCATACAACTTGTGCGGGGTGATCCCCCCCTCGGATGGGGAAGCTTCGTCCTCATTTAACCAAACTGTTATAAAATGGTCTCATTTGACGCTTCCCATTGACAAAGCTAACCGGGGTGTATAAGAAACAGCAAATGGGAAAAATCCCATTTGGCTATCCGTATAGATATACATGATAAGGCTCATTTGAAGGAGAGACATCAGTTCAGCCAATCTATCTCCCTTTAAAAATGACAATGTGTATCCCACACGATTAACTTTGACAGAAGTTTCCTTCCGCGTATATGGCTAAGTCGTTAAAAAGGCGTAAGACTCCATGACATGTCGACATGTGCATGGGGTGAAGTACTACACGAGAGGGGAATGTGCTGGTCGTGTTCCCTCTCTTTGTGCATGCCTTCTGTTTTTCTAACAAATTGTAAAAGGAGGGTTTCGTGCATTTCGTACGTTTAGTAATTCTTATTAGGCATTGCCTCATTTTGGTACAACATCTGAATCATACGCTTTTTGCAAACAGAGGACACCCCGAAGGTGCAATTCTTACCAACAAAGGGGAAGTCACAACTGGTGGGTACAGACAATAAAATTCGCTTAACGGGGGATATCGTTCATGACGTGCAGACGGTTGTGTATCATGTGCAAGTTTTCTCCTGCAGCGAGAAAAAGTATTTTTCTTCGTTCGCACTTTTTATAACCCGGGAGAGGGAAGTTGCCCTCGTCGATCCATTTCGTGCGTACTGTCACACACTTCCAATACGCATATGGAGAAGTAGACGAAGTAGCAGCTTGCGCTGCTGTGAAGGGTTAATCCTGCCCTCCACGTGACAGGCATGCAGATAGGCAAAAATGGGGAATCCGTCGTTAGCCTGCTCCTGCGTCTGGTTCCACTCGGTGAGATATTTTTTCATGTTTTTTTTTTTTTTAAAATAGATTAAAAATTTTGAGTAGTTTCAAATACAAAAGTATGAATTGCGAGAAATTAAAAAAATATATGCCTGCACATATATATTTCCTTCCGTATGAATATATACATATACACTGGTCCTTTCTTTTTTTTTTTTTTTTTCGGTTAGATTACATAGGGCTCTTAACAATGACTACTTCCTTCATGCACGCACATATGAACACGCGTAGGCGCACCTGCACATGGGCACACACGCGTGGACATACGCACGTATGCACACAACATAAATATACGCACATACACATAAAGTGCATTATGTAGGTGCGCATATAGAACGGCATAGGAGAGTGGACACATCTATTTTTATATATACATGGGAACGGGGGGAGCTACAGGAGAGGGTCTTGGTTGTGGTGGTTTTGTACATTAAACTGAGACTCCATAAAAAGGTTTACTAGGTTACATAGCAGAGGGTACACACACATGGCAGTGGAGTAATACATGTACATGTTATTTGCTGACATATGCGCAGTGGGAATGGGCGAGGAATTGCAGTAGAGTAGGATGGGGGCATTTTTCCCCCCTCTGTCTACACTTGTTCTTTGCAACACTTGTAATGTTACTACATATATATAATCCTTCTTCACTTCTATTTTTCTACTTCTCTCTCTCTTTTTGACTTCTGTCGTCTTTTGGACTGCTCCTTCCTTTGGACTCCTCCCTTTTTTGATCTTCTCTCTCTTTTAGACTTCACTCTTTTTTCCGTTTCTCCTCCATTCCATTTCGTCCCTCCTTCCTTTACTCGTTACTCTCGAAGTTTACCTTCAAAATGTAGCCGTCGAAGTTGCAAAAGTTGAGCGCGTCAATTGCGTTTTTCGCATCATACTCACTCTCCATTATGACCGTTCCTGTGACTTCCTTGGATGCAGTTTCCTCATTTCTTAAATCTGCCCTGACAACTCGGCCGTGCTTCTTAAACAGATCTTTTAATTCCTTCCAGGTGCTTTGCGGTGGTAAGTTGTAAACAATGAGGGTGCAATTTCTTTTGCTGGATGCTCTAAATTCGCTTCTTCGGAAATCCCTTCGAAAATCTCTTCGGTAGTCATCCCGGTAGTCTCTTCTGTAGTCCATTCTGTAGTCAAAATCACGTCTCCTTCGGGGATCGTACATCCTGTCGTTCCTCATGTTGTTGAATCGGCGCTTTTCGTAGCTTCCCGAGTTCTCTTCTCGGTCCTCTCTCACAAATATGAGTCGGTCTGGCGGGGTGTACGGGGGGGGTTGCCCGCGAGTGTGCAACAGGACGAAGGTATGCAGCGACAGGCACGCACAAAAGCACTCAGCATGAATGGAGCACCGGGATGTATGAACCACCCGGCATGTATGCCACTGAAGCACTCCACGAAGCTATCGGCGAGTTCACTTACCCTCCAACTTGGAATCGTTTAAGCTGTTTATAGCCTCCTGCGCCTCTTCATACGTTGCATACTCCACAATTCCGCATCCCTGCGCAGATAAGGAGGAAATGACATCCCATGGAGAATGTGCACCGGCACAGCTGCACAATTTACTCCTCAGCCAGGGTCAAAAAATTGGGGGAAGCTGCTTCATCGCAAATTTGTGCCAATACAAAACACCCGACCGTGCGAGTATCCTACACACACAACACATGCACTTGACCCACCTTTGACCTTCCCTGGGTGTCCTCAAAAATGTCGACCCTCACGACATCTCCGGCTTTTCTCATGTGCGTCTTCAAAACTGGCCACGTGACTTTCCAAGGCAAATTTCCAACGTAAACTCGACAACCCTTGGCTGGGCTTTGCTGAACAGGGGAGTGAACGGATGCCTATCACCCAGGGGGAAAGAAACAGGTTAACGAATTGTATATTGGGTGAAAGGTACAGAAGGTGGGGGGGGGCGGTTCCTCCAGTAGGGGAAGAAAACAAGACCGTGGTATGCATGTAATATACGGATGGCATGCACACCACCACTGTGATGCATAGACGCGTCCACTTTTTGCTTCTCTTCACGCTTGGCGTCCCCCAGGGAGCGCCTTTGTTGCTAAATCTATATACATACTGACGCGGACGCGGATTTGCAACGCGCTAACTCAGCTCTACATGATCACAGCGCGAACTTCGTAACTGCACTTTGCTCCTTTGTGCACTTGGCACATGGAACAAAAGCAACCATTCTATGTATTGACTTCACAACTGATTAAACGATCAGTTGATGATATATGACAACACTCAATTTGCGCTAATCAAATACGTAAAATGGGGGGGAAAAAAAATTTGCGGCTTACATTACTGGTATCCTCCATGGTGTGAATGGTTATCTTGTTGGAGTGGATTTTTCGGGTTGGTAAAAATTCAGGCCGTTCGCCAAATTGTGAACAGGGGCGTGTACGTGGATGTAAAAATATGCAGGCGCTTTACGTGTATGGGTGACCAAATATGATTATACGGAGGGGGGTCGGATATTCTCGCGTATGTTATTTATGTATTGCTAGGAAAGTGAAAAAAAAAAACAGAGGGAAAAAAGGGTTGCGCGACATGCAATTTTTGCAAATTGGGTTGTTTTCCCCCTAGGGAGTTTTTTTTTATTTCACATATTATACGCGTGAGCGTTCTTAACGTAAACGTAGGGGGTTCACATATATGTATGCTTAATCAAACGCTTATGTGGCTTCTTAAGCTTAGAATGGCTTATCTGCTCTTTAAAGCGTTTATATAATTAAAATAAAAAAATAAGAAAAGGAAAAAAATGCTGCAAGGATTTTCTTTAATTAGGTAACTCTACATATATAAATGTTTCGTTTGTAACTTTTTTTTTCCGTTTTTTCACTTTTTATATATTTTTTTTAAATCTCCTTTTTCCTTTGCTTTTTTTTTTTTTATTTGTTTCCGTTTTTTTTTTTTTTAAAGCGCTTCAAGCCAGTTTGGTTTTTCCCGCCACTACTTGTTACACTCCAAAAGTTTGGTAACAAAATATAGGGGGTTAAAAAAGGGTTGACGCATTCGCTCGCTTGCGTGGGGGTGGCTATATGCAGTGCGGGGAAGGAATGCGCACGAGCCAGCTTATGTCACGCTTATATGTACGTATGTAGGGATGTACGTAGGTACGTATGCATGTATAAAGCACGTACGTATTATGCTAACCCATGAGAGGCTACTCAGATCCTCTCATATCTACGTTTTCTCAATTTAATGTTTCTTCAAAGAAAAGCGTTCTTTTCTCGCAAATGGAGGGGCATCAACAGGGTGATATATATAAAATGTAAAATATATAAAAACAAACAAACGTGCACATATGTAACGGTTATTTTGTTTTTTTTTTTTTTTTTTGATACATCTGCTGTTGCGCTTGTAGCTCGTTGGCTTTGTAAATTAAGGCCGCTATAAAATGAGGATGTGAGAAGCGGAATGCATACCCATATGAATAATTGTACGTACATAATTTTTTGTGCTGGAATTATTTTTCCGCTAAAGTGGTAAGCGAAAACCGATTTGTTTTTTTTTTTTTCAATTTTGCAAAAAGAAAAAAAACACAGTGCAAATATATACCAAAATATATAGGAAAATATGCAAAATGAACCTCGCGACGTAATAAAAATGCCCAATCTCCCACGAGGTAGAGGTAGAACGCATGTTTTATTTGCTAGGGCGATGATGTGCCACTAAAATACTCGCGCAGATGCTGCGGTACACTGCCTATGAGTTTTTGTACCTACAGTACATGTAGGGTCGATTTCAAAAAAGTAATCCTCCCCCCTATGCTGCCCGTGGCTCACGGTTTTGCACATCTGCAGAAAAAAAACCGCTGCTGCTTCTTCCGCCTCTGCTGATGCTTTGGAAAGGGGGCATAACAAACCAGGTGGGTGTGGAAGAGTATCCCAAGTAGCATACCTTGCGATGGAGTTGAATTCCCCTTGGTGCATACGAAAGGTCGAGCGACGGGAGCACCTGTTGCGCGGCTTTGTGCATATAATAATATAAGTATATACCCTTTTGGTGGGCTCTTTTTTTTTGCATACCCTTTTTTTGCCATTGCAATCACTTCGCGCATGACAAAGTCAAAGGGTATAGCAACTTACTTGAGGCGGAACCTACCAAAAGGGATCTCTCCCCCCTTTTTTTTTCTCTTTTTAAAAAAAAGCCAATGAGGTGCCTTCTTTTTACTTTCAAGAGGGTATTCTCAAAAGGGTTAAATTTTTCTGTTATTGCAAAGGAGGGAATCTCCCCACTTGGGGGGCGTGGCGCGAAGATGAACACGAAAGAAAGGTATGACGACTTGTGCCCAGAGGGATTGGGGAGGGTTCAAAATGTGCCCAAGGCCAGCACAGCAATTCGTGCAGTGTATGCGCCAAAGGGATATGCATACGGGGCGAACAGGAGAGTTCACATGATACATAATATAAATATATATCCATGCATGCCGCAAATACGTATACCGCCTGGGTGAGTCGGCGTAATGTACGGAAAAAGAGGGAAGCTTTAATAGAGGGGAAAAGGCTCCACATATTCGTCCTATATTCGCCCTAGACTCGACGTGTAACTAGATAAAAGGATATTTTCTCCCGCCCCACGTTTCCTCTTTTATAACAACATTTTTTGCCTCCTCCTAACTGCTATTCGATTAGGCTAATTGCACGCTTTTTTTCCTGTTTCCTCTTTGGGTCAACACAGTGCAAAGGGAAGTATACATGCCCAATGGACGGTCGCCAAGTGCTGTTTGTTTCTTAACTCAATAAAAGAAAGAAAAAAAAACTTTGCAAGTCAGTCCCCTCACAGGATCATCATTTCTCATCCGATGTAATGGCTACCTTTTTTCAAAAGGCAAAATTTCCATTATGCCCATTAAGGGTAAACCTCTCCTCAATAGAGAACAAATTGTAGAAGTGTGCCACGTTCGGTAAGGCCGTTTTATACTCGTGACGCCGTGAGTGGGGCCACCTCCATTTGCTGTTACCACCAGTGAGAAGTAGCGGGTTTATTTTCCCATTGCTGGTGACAGAAAATGGCTGGCTTACTCAGGAAAGCCAGAGCACCGAGTAAGCTTGCACATTGGGGATTCGACACCGGGGGAGTGTATCTCCATCGTGTGCCAATCATTTTGTACAGTTCTCTTTCGATTGTGCTTCCTGCAGCAAATTACGCGATTCACGAAATATGTTTTCACCAAGTAGAGTGTTTTCTTCACGCGAGGAGAAATTAGGCAACAATGCGTGTGCAAGTGAATTAGAAAAAATGAATGTACATACAAATGCAGCATTAACAAGGGTCAATACGGGGGAAAAAAAAAATACATATTTGGAACACAAGGTGCCCTATAAGAGATACCTCTGTACGTAAACCATCCGTGTGCATACATATGACGTCTAAAATTGGCAATCTCCCAAGGGTGGTTAAGCGAATGTCCATAAAAAGTGGCAGCTGGATTAGTACAAAGAATGGACAAAACGGTGTAGTAATTTCTTTTTCCATTTCGGTAAAAAAAGAAAGCGCTAGAGGGTGATATGGCCAACTCGGCATAGTCTCCCTGTTAGGATTTCAAAAAAGTAATCAACTTTGAATGTGCACATCGATGTGTGATCAAAACGATTGGCACAAAAGGTGGCCTACAATGAGGTATGCACCATGTAGGTAATTTGGATCCCTAGCAGAGTAATGAACGAGCTCGTATACTTCTACCTACACGGACACAGAGACACCATTCCATACCCTTATCTGTGGCCGCTAAATAACGAAGTGAATGTTTCTCCTTAAGTTGTTTAATCTTTCTAGTATGTCCACGACAGCGGCCACTTGGCCGATGCACTCATTCTCGTCACTTCTACTGTCACACCTGCTAAGCAGTTCAACGTACTTATCCAATTTCTGCATGAAAGCATCCTTAGCTTTGTCCAGGATAATGAAGTCTACCTTATATTTTGTATATTTGTCGAAATCGATGCCTCCAGTAGGGAAATAATTCTCCTTTGAGATTATAAGATCTGGACGTCTTCCTGTAGAGTCATTTAAATATTCTCGCTTCTGACTTGAGTGTCTTTCTTCATTTGCATGGTGATGTTTCGTTTCGGCATTTTGAAACTTGTCGGCTTTTTTATCTTCCACATCGGGATCGATGTCCCTGTTGGTTAAATTGGTTGATTCTTTTTGGCTTCCTTTTTTACTGCTAATTTGCCTCCCTTTGAGGGAACTGCTGCTACTGTTCATCCACTCCCCGAGGTCATACCCGCACTTCTCCTTTATGTATTTTTTGTAGTCTAGCAGATTTTCTGTTTCTTCCCTCGTGATGCTATTTCTGTTTAATATTTCGTTGAACTCGTCATGCTGTAGTTTTATCTCCTTGATGAATTCTATGGGCGACAATTTTTCCGTAAAAAGGGGGTCTCCATATGTACCTGCGTGGGGATGCTTCTCTGTGTAGACATCCGGGTGGGCTTCCACATTTGCAGTGTTCGTTCGGGCAGCCAGATTTTCGGAACCGTCCATGTGGACATCCCTTTGGCAATCCTGTTCGGCCTTTTTCTTTCCACCCATGTTGCTGTTTCCCTTGTTGCTCAAAATTTCATCCCTTTCTCGGTTTTCCGAGACAATGTACACGTTGCACTTGGCACAGAATCGCTCCTCTTTGTTCTTCTGCTTAATGAGGGGGGTCACCATGCACTGGGGGGTCAGGGGTGGGCAAACCGTTACGATGGTGAAGGCGGTAATGATTGCTAAAACGGTCACGCGTGGGGGAGCTAACGTTGGGAAGCATCTCCTATGCACATGTGCCAATTCGCACGTGAGTTCGTTGACCTCAAGCGCATCTTACCATGTGGCAACACTCATTCAGCAAGGTCCAGCCTTGCAACAGCTTATCGCCCATAATCTGAGACGCCGCGAACGGGTCGGTAAGGGCGCTGCTGTTGCTTTCGACTTTCATTTTGTTCGCCCTGGTGAAGTGTGGATCAGCGGATGGGCAAGGTAGGACACGGAAAGTAAGGAGCAGCAAGACTTATTTAGGCATATATACATACAACAGGAAAAACGCAAAGAAGAAAAAATGCAAAGAGGAACATACAAACATTCACAACGATGTATCCACACAGGCGCTCTTACATTTAAGCACAGCTGGCAGCGAAAGGGATACCAGTTCAGCGTCACCTACTCGGAAGCTTTGCCTTCTTAAACGCTTAAAAGAAGAAATTACAATTTTGGGAAAAGTTTATCCGTTAGGGGCGCCTTCTTACGTTGCTTGGTTTTTCCCAAAAAGGAAAAATTGTAAAATGGTAAAAAAAAAAGAAAAAAAAAAGTAGATGGGGTGGATTAAAAATGACAAGATTGTAAAAAAAAAAATCTGCACGTGATGTGGCACCTTTAGCCAAGTACATAGTTGCTGGGAACAATTTGGAAAACGCGAGTAAAATGTAGACCACGACCAAACGAGGGTTCTTCTGTGGAGGGGGAAACAACGCACTCACGTATAACCCCGAAGCATGCATGCGATGGGGAATGCCCAGCATACGGGTCGTACAGTTCATATGGTCCAGGCGCGTGTATGGCGGGCGCATGCACTTGCGCGGAGGGGCAAAAGCAAAGTTAACAAAGAAATGTCCCCTTCTCCTCACTAAAAATTGTGCACAAGGCAAAGCAGACCCAAAGGCTGGCTAGTACCTGCGGCAACTTGTCGCCCCTGGATTTGTAAAATAGGAATACGGCACAGCATATTGGGGGGGGAGAAAAAAATTGCAAACACGTGTAGCGCACTACGCCTGTGCTTGGCAATTTCCTTCTTTTTTCTTTTTTCTTTTTTTTTGCAAAAAGTATGCTTGACCAACCAACACTTGGGTAGAGTCCACAATCGTGAAATTTACTCCTTTTTTAACTGTGGGGTGGAAATGCGCGTATAAAAATTTTTTTATTTTCGTACCTCCGTTCGGTAGTGTGCTGTAGTGTACCGTTCGGTGAGTTCGTTGGACATGTGTGGACGGGAGGGCTGTGGTCGTTCGGAAAGAGCGGTTCGGGAAAGCTGCCCTTCCAGTCGGTGCGCCCAATCGGCGCGTCGCTTCACTCGTTAAAGGCTTAAGGACACGCAAGACCGCCGCACTGCATACGCTTACGCCAATGCACATCGGGGGACGACTTCACAAAAGTTTGTCATGTCATGAGGGGATAAACTTGCACGGGTATAAGTACGCACGTTTGTGGAAATATATTTCTACATTTTTGCATGCTCATGCGTTCGTGCGCACTTTGGCCAAATCGCAGGGGAGGCTCCAGTCCAAGTCAGGCACACAATTTGATGAAGCGCATTGCGCATATGTACCTTGTGTGGAACAAATAAAAGGAAGCAAAGAAGAAGCAAGCAGAAGAGGCAAGCTGAAGTGGACGCAAGCAGACACAAGTATAACAGCACACAAACAAAGAGAACCAAAACAGGGAGAACACAAAATGAATAACAAAGTGACGAGAAACATAGAAAAGAACCTCCTAGACGCGCTGCGCGATAAGGAAAACGAAATAGACCTGGAAATTAAAAGATACGAAAAACTGGAAAAAAAAATATACGATGATAATGATGAAGAACTAGAATTTATAAAAAATAAAAGATTACAACAACTTAAAAATAAACATAGTGAAAATTTAAATTTACTGAAAAAGGGACATGGAATATATAAGGAAATTTTATCAGAAAAAGAATTTTTCGAAATCTGTAAAAGGTCAAAAAATGTATGTTGCCATTTTTACCGGAATACCACCTGGAGGTGTGAATACTTGGATAGCAAATTGATCAGCATGTCGAAGAAATTTCTACATATTAATTTTGTTAAGATTAATGCTGAGAAGTCTCCTTTTCTCTGTGAGCGCTTGAAAATCTGGTGCATTCCTACCTTGATGCTTATTCAGAATGGAAAGACTGAGCATTCCATCATTGGCTTTGACGAGTTAGGCGGCGATAATTTTTCCGAGCAGACTCTCATTAATGTTTTAAAGAAATGGAAGTTGATTGATTCGAGGGAGCCTGAGGATTGACTGCTTTGTTTTTGCTCATTCGTATTTGCACGCACCATGATTAAAGGGGCTTATTACCCTGTACATGTGTTGCCGGCTTCCCTCTGTGAGTATATCCCTTGTGTGCGTCGCTGATTATTTTTTTTTTTTTTTTTTTTTTCTTCCCTCATTTGGGTTTCCCCCGTTTTTATGTAATCATGCCGTATGGGATCATGGAACTTTGCCCACACCTTTGCTCATTCATTTCGCGCCCTGCCCATTTGGTTCCCTTTGCAGCCGCGTTGTGCAACCCCGTGTATTCACGTCATTACAAGAGAGTAACCCTTTGTCATAATTAAATTGTGATTTTTCCGCTAGTCTGACGAAGTTGCGCGTGAGTAGATGGCCAGGCGACTTCGGTTTCATAAGCGTCCCTTTTGTGGTAGCGGAGGAGAGCAAATATTTTTTACAGCCCAGTGGGAGGTTGTTTTGATAGGATGCCGATAACTTCCAATTGTTGGGCGCACAAGGGATGAAAAGATGCTCAGGAAGGAGGCATAACCCCCACACGTATTATACGTCTTTCCCTATAATCTGCATCATGTCCATGAATTCCAAAACCTCCACGTCCTCCTTCCCACGTCCCTGACACAATTCAGAGTTTACAATAATCGCTCGGATGAGGTCGGACATAAGAATGTACTTGTAACTGATGGGAAGAAAGTCGCTAACGATGGTGTATAAAAAGTCGGAAAGCCTTTTTGGAACGTTCTTTTTTCCTTGGAAGTTGCCGCAGGCGCCATTAAGATGGGCACCACAATTGGCATTACCATCGCTACCTCCATCATGAATTACGTAAAATGGGCGAAAGATCGAAATTCTCCGTTTGCATGGATTCCTCTTGAGCGCATCAACAATGAAGTCGCAGTTGCTCAAGGACAAAATGTTTATGTGGTCCACCTCGTATTTTCTGTTCAAATTTAATGTATTAAAAAATTCGTCTTTTTCTTTTTCATCATACGTAAAAAAACTTACGAGGGGGTTCATATTCTCTTCATCATTTTTATGCAATTCGTTGTTGGACATTCCACTTTGTTTTTCTTTCGTCGTCTCGGTATGCCTTTTTTCGGCTTCCAAATTGTTTTCCTCATGTGTGCGATCATGAGCATGCTGCGTACCTCTGGAAGCGAATTGTCGAAGGTGGTCCTCGATGTTTCCTTCTAGAGGAGGGCATTTCAATTTGTCGGCCAAGTTGTGATCTGAAAAATACACTATGTTGTTCCTAGTCACATTTTCGTATTTGAAATGGCAAAACTTCTCACTTACATAAATTTCTTTACAAAGAATTGACAAGTCCAGGTGTGCAATTATCTGCTTGTAAAAGTTACTACTTCTTACGTTTTTGTCAAAAAGGATAAACTTGTAAGGTTTAAACGCCGCCATTGGGGAAAATTACGAAGAAAAATAAAAAAAAAAAAAAAAAGCTAGCTGATCAGATAAAAATCGTTCTACATGGTTGCCAACTTACGATGCAGTGCGGATACAAATCAAGGAAACTACGTCAACGGGTGTGGGAACATTATTGAGAAGCGGCGCGTGCACGTGAACACAAATGTATATGCATTCGAAAGTATGACAAAAATGGTTAGCAGAGTTTCGTCAAATGTAATCAATACTCCACGAGGAAAAAATGGAAAAAAAAAATTACAAACAGGCAAGGTGTAATCGTTCTACCGTTCGTGGGGTGGAAAAGGTGATAACGCAGTGATGAGGGGGCACAGCCGAAATGTACCCTTATGTAGAACGCATAGTGTGGATGGTTCCCTTTTGAACAGATTAACCAAACGGGAAATAATCCAATTTAACGAACGTTGATGAGGCACATCCCGATGCGGCAGTTGCTTCTTTTTTCTTTTTTTTTTTTTTCTTTTTTACTTTTTAGGGCAGGAAAGTTCACCCGTGAGTGTACGTGACTCGTTTAATGGCACAACTGCGCGTCGGCTTACAATTTCACTTATAATTTCGTCCTCACATAGGATTTGCAACTCGCCCTCGAAAGTTTCCTTCTCGCTTGATTTTTTCATTTCCAAACGGGAAAGGCCAACTGGCTGCCTCGTGAAGCACCAATCGCTGACTAATCTGAGAGAGAAAAAAATGAAGCATTATCAGACGTAGCAACTGCCCTAGGAGGTCGTGCAATTTTCTGAGGAGCTGACAAAATGATAAAATGTGTAAGGGACAGAAAGCAGAGGAGAGGCCTTTTTTTCTGGTGCCATAAGAGAAGCGTGTTTGTGCCAAGTGAGAGGGATGTTGCAAAATTATCAGCCAAGAGCCTAGGCAATTATGCATTCGACATTTTAAGAATATCGAACGAAAATAAAGCCATGTACGAAATGTTTAAGAAAAGAATAAACGATGAAATAGGTTCATTCGACGCAAAGGATTGTTATAGGGTGTTAAAATCTTTGGAAATAAACAACAAGCTGAATGAAGAAGAAGATATGGTAAAGAATGTTCTGCATCAGATATCTGTACACACATGGAAATATTCAATCAAAGAGATATGTGACATTTCTTTTTTATGTTCCAAGTTAAATTTGGTGTACATTCCCCTGTATGCATCCCTATCCATTTCGTTTTTGAACAAAATCAACTTGGCAACCCCTGAAAATTTATCCATTTTAAGTTTAAGTTTTTGTAAAGTGCAAATAAGAGATGTAAATCTGTTTAACCGAATAGCCATTGCAACGTTGAATTTGTTACACATATTTGACGTGGAGAATTTGGTCAATGTGCTGATTTCGCTTGCCTACTTGGACATTAAAAAAGACATGCTATTGTACTCATCTGTGGACATTTTTGTAAAAAATAAAAACAAGTTGAATGGTGATCAGCTGGTAAAAATTGCACACGTATATTCCAAGTTCGACTTTGTAAGTAAAGACATAAACTCCCTACTTGTGGGGAGAATTCCCGCGTTCGTTTCGCACTTAAACAATGTCCAGCTGGCCGAGTTAACAATTTCGTTAAACAGGCTGGGAGTTCACTCGCACGATACTGATAAATTTGTTACCAATGTGAACTTGTCCCACTTAGCATTCCCTGTTGCCATAAAAGTGATGAAAATATTGTCCAGCGTAAATAGAGTACACCGCGTACATCACGTCAACGTCGAGTTTAAGTACGACCAAATTTTGTCCTGTGTGCAAAATTTTTTATTTATTCATGGGAGGGGAAATCACCTGAACGGCAAGGTGAATTTTGACACTTTGCACGATTGGAAGAAATATCCCCATTTAGGGAGCGACAGCAGGAGTGACTGTACAAGTGACGGCAGGAGTAACAGCAGGAATGCTTTCCTCACCGATGTGGTTAGTAAGAAAACGGCCGAACAGGGCACTGAGGGTGGCAACCCATCGGCGGATGACGAATGGGAGGAGCCATTTCGACTAGGCCACCTTACCAGTGAGTACAGTCCCATTCATGATGTGCAGAGCAGTTCTCAGTTTTACTTCCCAGTTTTGGATCACACCTTAAACAAACCCAATTCCTGCGGAAGCGAAATGGAGAGCCGCGTTTTTTCTGAAGAAGAAATAACCCAGCACTATCTGCGGTACAATTTGAAGCAGAAAATAAATCCCAATTCGGTGTGCCATTTGAATGTAGACCTATTTGAATGTCTGGTGAATTTCCTTCTACAAAATTGTGTAAGTGAGTATGAAGAAAAGTTGAAATATTTTTTAAATTGCATAAGTCGAGAAATTATTCTTTCAAAAGAGTACTTAAATTTCAATTGCCTAATAAAAATTTTTTCCGCCTTATTTAAAACTCCAATCATATGGAACTTGTCACTTTTAAATTGGAGTTCCGTCAATTGTGCCAAGGGGAGGAAGAAGTGCCTATTTTATATCAACGAAGATACTGATTTTTATGAACAATTATTGCAGCGCTATTTTTGTATTTTCCACTCATCTGAGAATGCCGATAATCACAGCTTGGTTCTATGCTTTGTGGTGAATCTGTTGAATGGTGAGGTGAAGCATGCGCACAGAACGTCAATAGAAAAGTGCTTAGAGCATTACGCGTCGGTAAGGAGGAAGGGTAAAGACGAACAGGTCGGCTACCCCATAGAGGACCAAAGTGTGTATACTTTTGTGGAGTATTTTTGCAAGGGTATCACCCTGTGGGGGAAAAGCAAGCACCGATTCGATGCAGCTGTGGAGGAGGAAGCGGCTCCACCAGAGGAAAACTCACCCTTGGTGTATACCTTCCCCTACGCGATGAGGGACAGCGTGCCAAATAAAATTCTCACTTTAGAATTATTTAGAATTGTTCAAAATTTTACGAAAAATGTGAAGCAGAACTTTAAGGAGGACGCGTACACAATATCGCTGTTCGAGTTTGACAACTATGTGGCTTACTTATTTTTGGAGCCGCAGGATTTTTTCTACTCCCCGTGGGAAAGGACAGAGTTGGACTTGTTAAGGAGAGTCAGTGTGCGGAATGAAGTCAGGGAAGAGGCGCCTCAGTCCGCTGAATCTTCTGACATGAAAAACGAGGGGGGGGGAGGTACCCACCCAGTTGGAGTGCCAAAAACGCAGGAAGGGAGCGGTACCCCCCAAGGTGGAAATGCGCAGACAGAAAAGCAGCAGCTGCTTCTAATTTGCGACATGTCGTACAACCCGTATGAAATTTTTCAGAACAATAATTATTTCGTTAAGTCGGAGACATTAGTAAAAATAAATTACTTGCTGATTAAGGGATACAGTATAATCGCCATTCCGTTTTATTCCTGGAGGTGCATGAGTTACGAGGAAAAGCTGGGCTCCATTAGGGCGCTTCGGCACAGCATCTTGGACGGGCAGGGTTGAATTGGTTAAGGAAACCGGCGAAAGTTCTCTTCAGGGCCGTGGGGCGGCACACCTGATGCGTATATGTCAATGCTGTGAAGGAAGCTACAAATTGACGCATAATCACATGCATACTGTTTTGAACCTATTTATGGCGTCTGCGGCACCTTTCTCGGAAAGGGTTTGCCCAAATGGGGGTGCCTTTCTGCACACCAATGGGTCCCCCAACTCGTTTTTTTTTTTTTTTTTTTTTCGTTTATTTTTATTTTTTTTCTTTTCTGTACATACACTGATAATTCGCAGCGAAAGGGCACCCTGTTTGTTTTGCCTCCATCCCCCCCTTGGTTATCTTCCCAAATGAAGGGATACACCGATGGGGAACCCATTTTGTCTAAATTGTTCCCACGCTTTAATTAGTAACTAGACGTATCTTTTGTGTTTTTTTGAAAAATATTTCCTGTAACTTTCTTAAATCGCAAGAATTTCCCCTTTGTCGTTAAATTATTGACGGCTTGTTTCTTTGTGTCAATTTTGTGCGACCACTGTGTCTCTTTACGTTTCACCTTTGGAGGGGTGGTGGGACACATGCTCTGTAAGTTTTTTGTCTACATGCGCATATCCCCATTTGGTGAAGTATCTCCCTCGAAAATATGAAGGGCCCGATTTTGAAAATCCTACTTTTCGCGGTGCTTTGCAAATGCGCACTGTTGGTCTCAAAGGGAGGGGGAACCCCATCCTTTGCAAGGGGAAAGACTCACCAGATTAGCGACTTGAATATAGACCTGTGTACGAAATGAGGAGGGTACAAAGGAGGGGGATCCCTCTTCTCGGTTGCCTCAGTGTATCAGCGGGGTGACGGCTGATGTATGGGTAACGTGGAGACTTCCCCGTTATAGCTGTATAATACAACCCATCTATGCATAGAAGTGAATTTACTTCACATCACTTCGGATCACTTCACTTCATTTTTTTTTGTTTTTTTTTTTTCCCCATAAGCGTACCATAACAAGAAGCAAAAAGCGTTTAAGTTGCAGTTAAAAGGGGAGACGGCAACTTTGGACACCCCATTAATTATTCTGCAGCCAACGGTGAGAAAGAGTTTCGCCAGGGAAAATGCACAAAGGGGGCATTTTTAATTTACAAATTTAGTGGATGGGTGAACATTTGCAGTTTGTGCAGAAAATCTTATGCCGCACCAAATGTAGCTTCGTTAGCGTAAGCCCTTAGATGGTGACCCCCATTTGTTGAGTCCACCTTGAACGTTGAAATGTGCGCATGGAATTTGCAGGAGGATGTCCCGCCAGGCGAATTGTATAACAGATATTTGGATGAAATGGATGATCCCTTAAACATTTGTAACTTGAAAAATTGAGAAAAGTTGAGAAAAATCTGTGCTAACAAAACTACAATTGGAATGCTCTTAAAAATGGGAGGGAAGAAAAGGGACAACGGGTGTTGCCACCCACCCACTGGGTGTTTTACTTTATCTTTCCAACGTAATGATGCAAAAAAATGCGCTTCCTCCCTTTGCAGCTGTGACGGACATTTTACGCAACTTAGTGGACTCCTTCGAACCGGTATTCCGACCAAGAGGTTTTATTTTTGATTTCCTGCCCGGGCGAGCCAACTTCCACGCGCACCTCACGTAGGCACACATTTGAACAAATTTCCCCCCCCTTCTCAGATAGAGCAGAAGAGGTTCTTAGATAGGGTAAAGAGGAAAAGCGTAAAAAAAAAAAAAAAAGGAAATAAAATATTTTGCTCCACAAAAGGCACGTAAGCCCTCCACTTCCCCGCGCACACACACAATTATGCCAACTTGAAACGACTGCATTTCAGTTTTTAGATGAAGTCGAGGCACATGTCAAATTTTATGAAAGTTTTTCCACCGAGTGAAATTTGCGGTAGGTTTAGGGGAAGCGACGAAGGAGGGGTTCTTTTTTTTTTTTTTTTTTCTCTTCCTTTTCTTCTTTTTATCTTCTTTACAGAAAGTGTTTGCACAGCAATACGGCAATAAGTAGGGAAATCAGGGGGGAATGCATCTCCCACAGTTGTTCCTACCACTGTCACCCCTATCACCATTGCTCCTCCCGCGCGCCTAAATATGTAGACCTAAGGTCTGCAAACGCATGTAAGGTGTGTCCCGCTTTATGTTCACTCCCCACCCACTTGTACCATTGCAATGTGAAACAACTCACGAATATATATGACCCCATATTGTGCTGCAAATTGGAAGTGACTTGATACCACCCCACAGGGGAGGAGGCGTGCTCACCACGGATCATACTGTTTATACGTACGTATCGCGCTACATATACATGTGCGCGTAATGAAAATACATGGAAGGAATTACATAAGACATATCTCTTATGACATAAATGGTTATATTATCGACTCGATGGGGAATACGTTCCTTGTTAACCCCCCCACAAACAGCGAATTGTAAGAATGGGAACGTGTTTGCTTAGAACAGCTGGGGTATAAAATTCACCCCTTCTACTTTGACAGATGAGTAGCGGGGTAGAATACAAAAGTGGCTGTTCTCCCATTTAGTCGATTACAATAACGTGAGGGTAGGAAAAAGGGGCACTACGAATTGGTACATTTGATGGGAAAATAGGACACCGCCCTGTACTGTAAAGCTTTATGCTTCTCTGAAAGTGCTTTTTTTTTTTTTTTCTTTTGTTTTCATTAGCATGCGACGGATGAACAAGTAGTTTCCCGTTCCCCCTGTGTAACGCTCCACTTACAGACGTTTTTTCACTTTCTTTCTTTCCCCCACTACTATACATAAAAAAAAAAAAAATATGAAATGTAGGAAAGAACGTTGCTTCCTGCGATTGACTCGAGGCAGGGAGAGGTGGCTACCCCCGAACGGACAAAGCAGCATATAATGGTGGCATCACTTTTGCCTCCTTCCCTCATGTGTCAAGTGTGACGCGACATACATGAGAAACTGCATGCACAGCTAAGGAACAAAAAAGGGGGAAGCTCACACATAGAGAGACATTCACAGAAAAGCGAAGGAGAAAAAATACTCCCTCCATCTAGCAGCGTCGTTGGGGTCAGCCACCTGTTTCTGGTGGAAAAAAAAAAGGAAATAAAATATGCGTAAAGAGAAATCTCTTTTTCGATTAACAATTCTGTTATAAAATTTACAAGAAAGGGATGACACGCCGCTTCACTTCACATTCTTTCATTGGATCTGAGATTCCATTTTGTTGCTAAATTTTTTTTTTCTTTTTCAACAGGAATACACAGTTCATTTTCTTGGGCCGTGTCAATTTTTTCTTTTTTTTTTTTTCTTCCTACATTTAGTTTCCGACTAGTCCCCCCATGATGATATTTGCCCTTTTCGTTATTCCCAAACAGTTTAGAAAAAGGAAAAATAGCGCTAGAACCTGGAATGAGAGGTACCACGATCTCTGTGTTTCCTTTTCTGAGTAATGACAGAAATTTTAGCTATGCACGTGTGTGCTCCACCAGGGATGCATAAACATTTTGTTAGCATGGCGGCACATTTTTTAGAAGGGTAACGCCATTTATACTTGTATAAAGGCTCACCTCATTTTGGCAATTCTATGCCGTGGCATTATGGCCGCCAAAAAAAAAAAAACGTACGCACCTCAGCAGGGCCGTAATGCTACTCTCCGCGCTCAACCTTTAGAGCCTTTCAGAAAATATAATACAAATGATTGCGTTCGAATAGGAAAAAATACTCTAACGCGTTAGCGCCGTTGTGCTTCACAAAAGGGAAAAGGAAAAGCTTCACCCATCATTATATAATACACGCGTATGGTTATATTACCTACTGCCCACCTACATCCATGCTAGTAGGCAGAAGCAATTATTTTTTACATTCCAACGCGTCGGTATATATAATTTCATACGAGAGGAAGAAACATATCCCTGGGTATAATATTTATATATATGTATAACATTTTTTTTCAAGCATAATTTTTTATTTCGTTTTTCGCCCCCTCCGATTCTTTTATTATTATTATTACCAAAATTGGTTCGTATTCATTATTTTTTTTTTAAACATTTAAAATTGTTTTTTTTTTTTTTCCCTTTTGGTAATATCTACTGTATATATGTTTACGCATTTATATGCTAGATATTTCTGTGACAAGAGGTTCTTCATTTTGTAATTGATTACGTTACATGTTTGTTATGTTATTCAAGAGGTACCTTTCAAAGCTTTTCTTCTCCTCCCATTTTTAATATTTTTTTTAATTCAAGCTGTTACAAATAAAAAAGGAAAGGGCCGTTTCATTTCATTATCTTATCGATTACATTATTTTTTATTTATGTTGTTTGTTTGTTTGTTCCTTTTTTTTTTTTTTTTGCGTTCATATAAATAACGTCCTTTTGCCCCTTTTGTTACGTCATCTCCACTTATATCTACGTACATACATACATATGCTGAGGCGTACATATGTATATATATGCCTATGAGCACTTGTTGACTCCTCTTGCTCTCAGATAAATAAAGCCGTTTGAGCAGTGTATGCATACGTTTGGATTACCGCCTGCATAAGCTCGTTAAAGCCGCCTGAAGTGTACAGCGCACCCGTACAGCTACGCAAACGTATTCGTATTTACCTCATTCAGCAACCACCCCGTGATTTATGCAAAATGGCAAACACAGAGGAACCGTCACAGGAACGAGCCGAGAATTCGATCCAGGTATAAACCACAGCGCCCTTGTGGTGTAGCCCAGAGGAGGGAATGCAGAGCGCCAAAAAAGGGAAATATATGACGCCACAGAAAGTGCCGAATATGTGACTCGGCGAAACATGGAGAATGAATAACGGGACAACACATGGAGAGCACTTAACATGAACAAAATAAACGAACCTCAATATGGGGATCCAAATGTAGATCCAGTTGTAGACCCAATTGTAGATCCAATTGTAGATCCAAATGTAGATCCACTTGTAGACCCAAATGTGCCTCCTTTTCTTTTTCCATTCTCCTTCCCGGAATTATTTCAAAAAAAATACATTTCGGCGCGACTCTCCGTTGCCATGCACAAAACGGGCGTATGGCTCATTTATGTTTTGCCCTGTTCCCCTCAATCGTGTGTATCTGTGTAAAATTGGGTTGGACGCCCTTCAAATGTTAAACGCGAAGCCAGATTTACACTGGCGTTGAAATTTTCCTCATTTTGTACTTCTTCGTTCATTTTTTGCTACTCTGTCTGTTTTATTTTTTTTATCTCTCTGCCACGATGAGTATTTTGTGTGCTTCCCTTGACGTTACCGCATGCACGCGCTTCTCCACACATACACATACGATGGCTTCTCCCCCCCCCGTGCATCGCAATTTCGTCCAACTCAGGCGCGTCCACCAAGAGGCGAAGCTGTCGCCTGCCGCCCATGCACCCATGTACACATAACCCCTGACTTGTGTATACATCCTCTTACTGCTTCACCCCCCTTTGTAGGTATCCATGACGAAAAAGCCAACGTTCTATGCTCGTATCGGAAAAAGAATGTTCACCGGAAATGAGGAAAAGAGCCCATTCGACGAAGTCATAATAACAGGTTTGGGCAGCGCCACCAAAATTGCAATTGGTGCAGCGTCCATAATGGAAAAGGAAGACGTAGGTAAGTGTAAATATACGTATTTGTACTTATGGGATGTTTCCCTTGGTTGATGTGAATCCTGCACATCTGACTGCTCACCTCACCGCGTTGAATTCCATTCCTCACCCGTAGGGCAAATCACCAAAATTCAAACCGCCTACTTTAGCTCGGATCGGATAAACAGGCGGATACCCAAAATAACGATCGTTCTGAAGAAGCACCCAGATTTTGTCCCCAACTAAGTGGAGGATGTGGAGAAAACCTGTGGCGGATAATACAAGGGCCAAAAGAAAAATGCATATGCCGTCTGGGAACCAGCCAAGCATGTATATGGTGAGAAGTGCACCTTTAAGTAAGAGCAGAACACAAGAAAAAGGGCTAAACAGAAGGATCCAAAGAGGAAAAAAAAAACTGAATGCGCCATGTCTGCATCAGTTTTTTTTTCTTTTTTTGAGCACTCACCCCGCGATCTTTGGCAGATCCCGTTGTGCAGAGGTGTATAAGTACAATATGCATATGCACCTGCCGATGGCGACGTGCCGAGGGACTCAGGCTAACACAGTGCCCACGCGAAACACATCAACATGCGCGCGAAACGAAAATTACAAGCCCAAGAGGGACACCGAGGAAGTAATACGAATGTCAAGATCGGAGCACGGAGGAATCATCTGTTGAGAGTGTCATTTATATATATATACATATATACACGCCAAAAAAAAAAACAAAATTGGAAGAATTGCTTACCATATTTATGTTTTTTTGTATATATTTATTTTTTTCCTTCCACGTGTGTGTCTATATATGTATATACATACGTGTGTGTACATATCCCCCTGTACATATATGCGTGTATATATATGTGTGTGCACACATCCTATATATACATGTGTATGTGTTGTTGTTTTTTCATTCCAGCCACCTTTCATTTTTCACGTTTTCCCTTCACCGTTACACACCTTGCATGCTTAAATAACTTTTTTCTTTTTTTTCCCCTCGTGAAAGCTTTTAATTTGATTGATCTTAAAGCGTTTTACTATATTTGTACACATGCCACAACACACCTACGCGAGATTGAAAAAAAAAATAATAATAAATAAAAAAAAGGACACTTCGATAAACGGACACAAAACCCCCCACACGCATATACATATATATACACATATCTACCCACCCATATATATATTTACGTGTATACATGTACATGCCTGCATTTATCTTCCTATGCCTGCTTTACACCTGCACCTTGCTACCCATTCATGCCAGCGCAAGCCCCACCCATATTCATATACGCATATAGACACATATATACGCTCACATACTCAGCTCACACTTTTTAATTCATCCCAACATTAAACTATGTGCATATTTCTTCTTATTAAATTCATTTTGAAAAAAAAAAAAAGGAAAAAAAGAGGTCAACAAGAAGGAATGCTTCTTAAGGGAGAAATGTGACAACGGAGGTAGGGACCCCTCGCATTGTGTGCCCAATTCGGGGGAAGGTTAAGGGGCCCCAGTGCGATGAGGATGCTGTTCTGGAAGAAAGACCCAAGGGGGTCTCGCAACTAAATGGAAAAATGGGGGTTTGCAGCGGTGTCATCCGTTTGAGCGGCGTTATCCGTTTTAGGGATACTCATATGCTATGCCCGTGTAAGGAGGCGAGGCGGAAGCGGTACAACCAGATGTACACCCATGTGTCAGGACGCATAGTCCCAACGCTCTTTTTTCTCTAGTCGGTTTACAAATGTTTGAAAAATCCCAATTTTTGGGATGGCATCATTTGGAATCGAATGGCGCAGCAAGTTTGTTGGCATAAATTGGCCATTGCTTTCTCCACCGGAGGAGTGCACATAGTGAGGTAAAAATACCCAAATGAAGAACCGTCATTAGGGAAGATATGTGTAAACATATGCTGATACGTGTAGGTATTCCTTCCCCCCTCTTGATGGTACCCCCCGAGCACTTCCCTGCCCATAATTTTTCGGCTAGTTGGTATTTGCCACGTAAATGCAAAGGAGAGCTGTCTCTTGGAGTTGGATTTTAATCATTCTGGTTTGTGCTACTAAGGGTGGGCGCTCTTCCCTCCATGTATGGACAAAGACGAAAGGGAAAAATGATTCTTACGATTAGATGGGTCACCACATGTGGGCGTCCCTATGGTTTAGGGATCAGCATTCGTCCCCCTTTAAATGTTACACACTGAGAATTTAGCATAGTTCCGCTTACTGAGCCTTTCTATTTTTCCCTGTTTAGATCCCCCTTGACTAGGATGTCGTGGTCGTCCTCATCGGCGGATGCTCACAAGGGAAGATCTACACAGTAGGTGGGAGCGAAATCATCACCACGTTAGTTAA